AGGCCCTAGGAACGCCGTGCCCCCTCAAGGAAAGGAAGGGTGGGGGGACAGCGGTGTGGAGCCTCGGGCAGCGCCGCGGAGAGCGGGGCGAAGCGCTGCCTGAGATCCCCCCTAGGGCACAGGCGGCTGCCGGGCCCCGGGCGGAGGCGGCGGGAGGGAGGGAGGGCAGAAGCCATGGCTGAGGGGCCGGAGCAGCGCTGCGGCAGGGCCTGGGGGTGCTGCGGCTGGGGGTTGAGGGGAGCCCAGAACGGTGCTTTTAGAAAGCGTGAGGTGGGTTGGTTTTTTTTAAGCAGTCTTGCTCGACAGATCATTTCAATAACTGCCAGCACATGCGTGTTGCAGCGGCTGCTGAAGGAGTACGTTCTGTGGGTTCAGCAGAGGCACAACTCGGAAGGGTTGGTCCGGATGACAGGGTCTTCCTGCCCTCGTTTCCTTCCCCTGATTTCCTTCCTAATGAAGGAGCTGGTGGCTTTCCTGGGAGAACAGGCCTTGAGGCTTCCCACCGGACTTAAGTTCACTCTCCACCAAGTCTCAGTGGGCACCGGGGAAAAGGCGCGAAAAACACTCATCTGAAGCATTTTGAAAGGCATTCTTAATTATCCTTCCTAAGAAAACACCTCTAACTTGATGAGTGTTGTGACTTGTAACAATGGCTTGCAATCATTAAAGCGCTTTAAATGCAATACTTAATGCACCTAAATAAAGCTGGAATCTCATTTAAAAAGGCCTGATGGGTGTTCAAGATCCATCAGATCTTCACGTTTGTAATCTGCCTCTAAAACTCCACAGCTGGAATAAAGGGAGGGGAAAAAGGCTTTTTCCTATTTACTACAGACCAACAAGATCAAAGCTACTGGTGTTTGTCAGAACAGCAGCATCTGGCCTATTCCCGCTGTGCCAGTGTCACGGGGAGGCTGTGACAGAACCTATGAGTGTGAAATAGAAACCTTTTCATTGAATTCAAAGAGGAAAATTCAAGCACTGATTTTAGCATGAATAAATTGACATGTAATTTATGATAGAGGACATCTATGGAGATGACAAATTGGAAGCATCACTTGTTGGAGATGCACATGCCAAAAGCACAGGGATTCCTTTTCACTTTTCCAGCTTCACATCCAACTAATTGCTCTTTCCCCATAGGTATGAATTACTCTCGGTTCATCAACACTGTGAGTGCAGCAAGAAAAGCATCTCCAATAAGACTTCTGAGTGAGTACAGAACCGTTCTTTCCAGGTTCTCTGGACGGGTATCATCCCATGTTCTAGACTTTGCTGGGGTATCATGGCTAAAGACTTGAGAAGGCTTGAAAGAAAACTATGAGAAGGCCGGTTAACTTCTGTCAAGTTGAGATGTCAAGCAGGTATAAAGGAGAAAAAAATGAATAGCCCTGGACCCATCCAGACAGAAGAAAGAGTATTATCATTTCAACATGTGTCTGGAAAAAAAATATCTCTGTGACTGCCTCTGAAATAGGGCTTTTGGCACAGTTTGCTACTGAATTTAGGCCAGTTATCTGGAAACAAGCAACTGCTAATGACTTGAAATTCAATGCCAGCATAATGCTTCTTTGCACCTGGCTTTCCTGTGTTCTGTTAACATCTATCAATGCCTTACCCTGTCCACCCTCTCAGTGTTGCTACACTTTCCTTTTCTATGTGACACAATCTTTAGGCTACCATGTTACGTAGTCTTCTGTGTGACAGATAGAACAGGTTAACTGCCTACTTGTTTACTCAGTTGAAACCTACAGGGTCCTGACAGAATGGGACATACATCATTAGTTAAGCCTTCAGGGGTCAGTTTCCTCTCTTGGTAAGGTGTTGGTATTTGCTGTTCTGCCAAAAATGTGGCAGAATGTACCAAAAATATACAGGTACAGCTAAGTCAACTAATTCACTCTAGTCAGTCTCTATGCTTTTTCAAGTAATACATTGATATGCATCGTAACACAAATATTAAGTAGCACAGCTTGTGCAGAAAAACACATTGAGGCAGCGGTTTTGATGATGAGGTAAATATGTTTACCAGACCAAAAGTCATAGACGTGACCCATATTGCTGAACTGATAAGAATTAACTCCCCATGCACAAGTTTGCAGTGGAGTACAAACTTGATAACAGGATAACTTTAAACCAGATCTGGTATCATCCATCCTCTCATATCTGATGTGAAAGCATCAAGCCAGCACAAATACCATATTGTGCGCTCTTGGATTAATACAATCAAGTGCCCATGCTGGTTTGAGGTCTAGTCTGTGCTGCATAGATTGGATCTGAGTAATTGTGAAACTGTGACTTTAAAGCAGGAGTTGTTAACATTTCCTTCATACTGAATTATTTACACAGTGCCTCTGCCACTAGAGCCAGGCTGCCAGAAATGTTCCTGCTACCTGATGAAAAAGCTATAGTCATAGATGTCACTGTCAGTGTAGCTGCACTAGCACCACATCAGCTGAAGTGAGACTGAATAACAAAAGCAAAGCAAATCATTCCAAGTCAGTCTCAACAGAAGGTCATTGAGATTTTAAATTCTTGAAGCCTAAAAGACATCAGTCACAGAAAAAAGTTTTTATAATAGTAGAACAGTCCAGATAAGATGAAAAAGCTATAATTTATTTTAAAACAAAGGTGGGTTTTTTTGGTTTTTTTTTATCTCCCACCCGTGTCATCCCTCCCAGCACCTATTTAATCCAAGTAGAAAGGTGAGTTTAGAAAGAATTATTATCCTTTTGAATTCCTGCTGATAGAAAAATAAAGTGAAAAATGGAACGAGCTTTTCTGGACCATTATTATATATTGACTAAAGGATATGATCAGTGTTGCAATAATGAAATTGTAACCATGGTTTTTTTTCTTTTTATTCTAGCTGAATTGATGCAGAAGTCTCCTCCATCTCTCATCTCTCTGGCTGGGGGGGCACCAAACCCTAACCTTTTTCCATTTAAGAGGGCTACGGTTGCCATTGGACATGGAACTGCTGTTGAGATTGGGGAAGATCTGATGAAGAGAGCTCTCCAGTACTCGGCCTCAGCAGGGTATCTCTCAGGGCTGCTTGCAATTCAAGATACCAGAATCAAAGGATCATAATACCTTTTATTTCGCATTAATTCACCTGGGTTTTTAAAATCCATTTGTAAAACCTGTTTTACAAAATCAAGTTTAAACTGAAATGTGAGGCAAATTGAAATAAGTGGAAAATTTTAAGCATATTACTAATTTAAAAAAAAAAAACAAACTACAAAGCTAATACTAGTAATTCTCAAACCAGAACATCTCCTGGCTGTTAGCATCTGAGAATCCAGACTCCCAACCCGCTAGGAAGAATAATTCTGTGTTTTGCAAGAAAATATTAATTAAAAGATACTGCGTAGTATCTTATAACATATACCAAATACTACATGTTATCTTGTAACATAGTTTGGCTTATTCTGGAGTATCTATTTTGCTCTCATTTGGTACCACATATTAAAGTCAGTATGTATTACTTGTGGATGTAGTTGAATGGAGGTATTTATAGTACTGACATTTAGTACAAAAATGACGTATCATTAAGTTACTTTAGCACTCCTGTGAGCTCCCCAGCAGACACCACTTGAGTCAGGCATGTGACAGGTTTGCAAAAATATTTAGGTACCTACAGAGGCATACAGGGCATTAATCAGTGAAGTTAAGACTTAACATTTAAATGAACTCAGCCATTTGTGAACATCCTACATCATCTTAAAACGTATTTTTTTAAAAATCTGTTTCATAAATCTGTATTATCTACAGCCTATTCCTAGCAGTATTGCAAGCTTTGTCACATTGCCACATTTGACAATGGAAAGATCACTCCTAGGAATGGATATTGTTTAGCCTCCACCCCTATTCCATCCTTGGCATATCATCTGTGCCCAGAATTCAGTGTGATAATCTGGTGTTGAGATGCTCATTTCTTCTGCTTTTCCATAAGAAACATTTATCTCATTTTCACCATTTGATAAAGGGATCATAAAATCAGCATCTAAGTGTATTGTTGTTACAGTTGAAATCAGACTCAGAAGTGTGTGCTAGATTTGGCAGTGATTTGGAGGAACAGCCTAGCTTTGGCCTGTACGTTAATGTACACCTTGTTTTATTCATGTTTCAGGATTCCAGAGTTGTTGTCTTGGCTAAAGGATTTCCAGCGGAATCTACATAATCCCCCCACAGCCAACTACAGTCCTGAGCAAGGACAAATGGAAGTGTGTGTCACAACTGGCAGCCAGGAAGGCTTGTGTAAAGTAAGACCAAAAGCTTCATATGTTAAAAGCATTTCTTTCAGAAAGATGTTTATTTTTCTGTAGGTTGAGTTATACTCGGCATTAAGTGCCACTATAACTATATGCAGGGTAGTTTGTTAAATATGTGTCCCATGGTATTATCAATACAAGAAAACAGAACTGACATAAAGCTGGTGCGGCAAGTCTCATCTGTGAGGGCTGCACGAATGTCTGGGTAAACCAAAGAGCCTGTCAGAAAATATGCTATAATGCAACATTTCATGTTATTCAAGTAGTGCAGTAATAAGTACATCGGTGCATTAATTGCATTACCATAACTCAATTCTAATTATGTTAGACTTCCTTAAATAATTACCCTTTCTAGTCCACTCCCACTGCTGCTTAATTGATCCTTTCTGTAACTGAAGCAGTGTTTCTGTTGTTTAATAGAGCACTGTCTTTCCGTATTCCCTAGCTGATTACCTAGCTTCATTTGACTCTAAAGCAGATTTTTCATCTATTCAGTGCTTTTCTCAGACAGTGTAATTAAACAGTTAGGGCATTACTAATATCTAATGAAGATTTTTAATCCCAAAGAAGTCAGAAAGATGAAGCATGTGTACAAGAATGGCAAAATCTTTCTAAAATAGACTTCCCTTTCACAGGTGTTTGAAATGCTTATTAATCCTGGGGACAATATTCTTTTGGATGCACCTACATATTCTGGGACATTAGCAGCTGTAAGTACTTTTTAGCTGCGAGATGTTGTGAATGTTACATTTGAAGTAAACTGAAGTACCTGATCTGCAGGCTTATATGTACACTTATATGCTCTGTAAAAACGTATCGAAGAATCAAGTTTTTAGTGTTAGTCCAGTTAAGTTCATAAATATTAATTCATACAAGCTTTTCTGCTAAAAATTTTATAAAAGCTCTTCCCAGGGCAGAAGTTCCTCTTCCAAATCCTGGTTCATTCAAGGGCTAAGGTCACATTTGGGATTGAAAGGATTGGTCACAACCTAGTCAGGTTAAAGCAAATTTATAACAAGTGGGTATTCAACATGTCAACACATTCACCTGAAGTATTTCATGGTCTGATAATACCATAGCTATAAGTAGTATGAAATTGGAACAGGCCTGAAACATCCATATATGAAGGTGTGAGTTAGTAAGAACTATCCAAAAATAGCAAAGTTTACTTTTGAAAAATAATTCAATCAGTATGTAATTAAATCTCAGCTCAAAATGCTTGAGAACTGTATGTAAGAAGGGACAGGATAGATGATAAACTACAATTTCAGTCTAGTCTCCCCTTGCATCAAAAGGTATTTTGTTATTTTTTGCTGTGGTAAGTTTGAGTATATCTTGTCTAATCAGATATGCTTTGTTAGGAATATATTTTGACAGTGCAGCAACTTGCATTTTTACTTAAAAATGCAATGTACTACATGATACAAATTGAAATTCCACAGGGGGGAGACAGCATGCTTTTTGTTGGTATTTTACCTATATTTTTTTATGCTGCTGTCAACATGTCATTGCAGTAACATCATTTCATTCTCTCTTGTATTGCTGAGCATATCTATTGAGAATAAATTCTTTGCCCTTTGTCAGTGAAGAGTAGCTTATGGTTCTGGCATTTCCACTGAAGTAGAGTATAAATTCTCACTAGGAAATGAAGGTGCTCTGTGACAAGAGCACGAGGAGTCCTGAGAGAATACAGTTCAAATTCACAAAATCCCTTTCTGTTTGCAAAACCATGTGGTTTCCTGCAGAAGAGCAGCAATTGGACACGGGAGCTAGCCCTTCTTGTCAGTTGGCTTAACAAGGCAAAAAGAGTACTGTGATAAGCTTGACAAGCTTCACAGCAATTTCAGGCAAACTTTCTTTTGAATCACAAGGAAATGGAGTTTGATATAGCTGTAAAGTCCAAAACACTCTGCATCACTGAAATTTTACAATGCCAATGACAAAAGGAAGACCTTTGAATTACAGGATTATGACAGTTTTGTTCCTCCTATCAACAGCTGAGACCTTTGGGTTGTAACATAATTAATGTTCCTAGTGACCAACATGGCATTATTCCAAAAGCTCTCAAAGAAATTCTATCTACTTGGAGCTCAGAAGATGTCAAAAATCGTAGCCACCACCTCCCCAAATTCCTGTACACTATTCCGAATGGCTGCAACCCAACTGGAAACTCTCTGACCACAGAGCGCAAGAAGGAGATTTACCAGGTACGTAGCTGGGGCCTTGTGAACCTTGTAGGTGGAAAGCAATAAATGCCAGTCTCACTTCAGTTGAGGATACTCCATGTGTGGTCATTGGGCCCGTTATTGGTCCAATAGACATTCCTCCTAGATCTTGTTTGCAGCAGAATGGCTTTCATGACAACTCTTCAGAGGTGCACTATGCATTAGATAAATAGTAGCCCATTGCTGGCTGGTATCTTTGCCACGGGCTTCAAACTGGACTTAATGCAAGTTTTCTGCACAGTTTGAACACTACATGCAACAGACCTCCAGTTATATGCATGTCCTTGTACTGCAGGTATCGTGTTTACTCCTAGAATTGCTTGATGCCTAAATCAGGCATTTGAAAGCTTCTCTTGATAGACCCTTGTATAATAATGAATGAGGAATCCATGGGATCATACTGTGATCCTGGTGATAGGGACAGGGTATAGGAAAAACTGAATTTACAATGTCTTTACATTTTAACAAATCTTTAATTTTTATTAATTTCTTTAGCTTGCAAGAAAATATGATTTCCTCATAATAGAAGATGATCCTTACTACTTTCTTCAGTTTGAAAAGGTAATTTGTCTTCCATACTCCTTAGTAACATCTTCTGGTGCAGGACAGAACTAAGGTTTGACCCATGGATGTTCTTTCCTGCATGTTCCTTTATGTCCTACCAAGATCAGTCTATGCTACTTTCAGTTGTTGTCCCCTTTGTGGCATTTTATTGCATCGGTCCTGTTAATCAGTGGCTCAAATTCCTCAACCTTATACAGGACAGAATTTCCTTTAGTAGCCAGAAAATGGCAAAGACTTTGCCTCCAGAGCAAGACAAGTATGCCACTGAAGCAGCACTTGAAAATAGCGGCCTCGTAATGTTCCTTTCAGCCCAGCCTCTTCATTCAGTGGAAGACTGCTTACTCCCAAATTACTGTATCCCATTTTTACCCCTTTGCCATTTGGAGAACCCTAGAGAGTTCTCCCAGATACCACGGGACATAGTACTGGGTAGGCAGCTTCCTTCCTTCATGGAAGTTTTCCTCAAGTGGGTAACAATCAAGTGTTGATCTGTCTTCACACATGGATGTACATTTGCACAGTTCACAGCCTACCTAACTTTAGGATTAAAAACTGGCCTTATAAAGCAGTAAAACATTGGTAGAAGCTAATGTTCAGTATTTTCTATTTTGAAATAGGTTTTTAAGGGAGCAGGCAATAAAACTGCTTCACTTGTTCAGTGAATAACATTGTGCAGCTTTGTTGGATGGTGTAAGGTGAGAAGGTGTAAAAGTAGAATTCTTGATAAGGAAAAAGTGTGCTGAACTCAAATCATCCCAATTTGGTCATATCTTCTGATTTCCCTTTTTAAGCAAAAGCTAAAAGCTACAGAGCCTCATCTTAGAAATTACAGTATCTGTTTACTCCATTAAAAAAAATCTTGGCAGAGAAATAATTTCTCTCTCCTGATGTCATCATACAGAAACTTTAACTGAACCCTGGTATGCTGAACAGTGGGCTAAGCATCAAAAAAAAAAGCTGATTTCTTGATGATTTTCATAGAAGACTCTCACACAATTAGCCTAAACAATCACTTGTCAGCAAGTTACTGCATTTTTTTTCCTTGGAATGCACATCTGTAAAATATTTACTATCAAATATTTTTTAAAGAAATTAGTTATGTCTTCATAGTAAAGAAAATAATTCCATCATAATCCTTACTAGCACCTTGAATTTTATTTTTTATTTTTCTTCCAAGCCATGGGCTCCAACTTTCCTCTCAATGGATGTGGATGGCCGAGTTATCAGGACTGACTCTTTCTCTAAAATTCTCTCGTCTGGGTAAGGCCAGCTTCAGACTGCTCAGCATTGCCTGTTCATTTAAGGCACAAGACTAATACTTCATGCAAAATGATCAGACATGTCAGTGTTTTTTCATCTAATACCTATCCATTTCTGGAATGTACTTTCCGATCCACAGCTTCTCTCAGTCCACTCACTTTTCATGTCATCTCTTGGCAGTCATTTAACTCCAGATTCTGTTTCTCTTCTGATACTGACAGCTAACCCGCTCTCCCATGGCAGCCCGTTCTTGCTGCCACCATGTAGACAGAAAGACAGATGCTGGATCCTGGAACTCCTAGGAGCTTTTCTCTCTTCTTTTTCTGTTTCTCCTTCTATCTCTTACCATTCCTGCAAGACTCCCTGAACGTATAATACAGAATAGAAATGATGGCATCTTTCTCCACAAATTATTCATAGGATTATACTGATCTCTTGTCTTCTAGCCTTACAATTCTGGCAGGCTGTTTCCCCTTGCCTGAATGACTAAGCTGGCTGTTTTTCATTTCACACAAGTCAACATATTTGATTTTTAACTTGCTTTTGTTTATTATCCTAATAGATATAAGAAAGTAATGTGAATTCTGCACTGGCAGCTAGTGGATTATAACCCCATCTCTGAGAAAGTGAGGAGACAACATGATGCTAAGTGTGATTGCACTTTCAGAAGTGACACTGCAAAAAGGCATGATGCAATTTTATCTTTGTCAAAGACACACATGAGCTTACTGGTTCTATTTTTCTTCAAAGAAAAACTTCAGCCAATCTGTAAAAATGGGTCATAAGAACTGAAACATGAATGAGAATCTAGTTTATCAGTCTAAATTCCATTTATTCTGCAGTACTGAAAGGGAGTGAAAGAGTAAAGCTGTTTGACACTTTCCATCTGTTTATCATAAACCCTGAGCATTCATGATTTTTCATCATGTGAAAAGCTAACTTTCCTTCCCTTTGATTCATGTAATCTTTGTGGTTGCAGAGGAAAGCTTACAAATGTGGGATACGTCCTGCAGTCTCAGAACTAAGAAGATACTATAAGCTTTAAAACCCCTTTGATGTTTTTATTTCATGACTTTGATACTCAGCTCATAAGTTGCATAAGCCTGGGGCTTAGGGCAGTATTAAGATATAGATAACCTTAAATGCATAGAGGATCCTTTCAATATCAATGAAACGGTTACATGTTTTCCCAGTTATAAGATAAACCATAACTCACACAAGGTATTGCACACTGCATTTCTGTAGTAACTTTTTTCTTTTTTTTTTTTTTGTAGGTTAAGAATAGGTTTTCTGACAGGTCCAAAGCCTCTTATCGACAGAGTTATTCTACACATTCAGGTTTCAACAATGCATACCAGCACTTTCACACAGGCAAGTACCAAACTGCCAACTGAATTGTCCTTGGAAAAGAGAACATATTCCAAGTCATAGGAAACCACAGACAAACAGCTTGGCACATCTGCAGTTGCTCTGAGCTTTTACAGTTTTGTTTATAAGCAGCACATACATTGTCAGTTCTGCCAAAAGAAAAGAGACCACCACAGAAATTACAGCCAGAGCTAAAGGGTGTCTCAGCGCATGGAAAGCTAAATGCCCTTAACCCTCAGGTTTCAAGACTCAAGAATTAAAATACTTTGTATCTATTGCTAGTGGGTTCACTTGAAAAACCGCAATGTAAAGCATACCTTGGAAGCACTTAGGTTTTTTTCTGTTTTTCATTCTACTTTGTAATTGGAACAATATGGGCAGTCCACAGAGGCATTACAAAGTGGGCTGCCAGCTAGAGCCCCTTTATAATTAGTAATAAAGACACATTGAGCACATCTAGATATGGCTTCCATCTTCCAGCTCCATTAGGTCAGCACAGAGGCAGTATTAAAGCAGAGAGGCTGATATGGGCAGGAAGGTAAAGCAATATAAAATTGCCTTCCTTTTTCTCCCTGATTACCATATTCAGCTCTCCATCCATTCTTCCCTCCCCCACCCCAGCTTCCAAACACTGCCATGATCCTTGGAGACAGCAGTAACATGTTCTACCATGGCCTGTTGCTGTTGCCACCTCTGTTTATAAAGGGCTCCAAGAGACCCCACATGCAATTTCTTGCCTGTGTGGAATTTTGAATAACAGTACATATCTTTTGAGAATTGCAGAACAGTCCTGTTTAAAATATGGTATTGATGATGTGTTTTATTTCTTTAGATTATGATATCACAGCTGCTTCAGCAATGGGGAGAAAAGGGTTTCTTGGAGCATATAGACAGGTAGGGTCATGTCATATGCTGAATCCCATCATCTGTCATTCTGCTTCTCGTTACCTACATAAAACATTCTTTGTAGTAAAGAGGTCAGAGGAGGTACCAGTACTAGGCCACGGGGATAAGCCAGGTCTCCAAGACTGACTGTATTCACACAAGAATCCTGAAGGAGCTCAGTGTGAAGTTGCAGACATGCAGGTCAGGGCATATAAACTACCACCACAGACCCACAACCTGCCATTCCACCAGCACGGTCATCGTGCAGCTCCCAACTGAAAGGGAGCTCAAGAGGTTACTGGGAGCATCAAGTCAGTAAATAAAGTTGCCATCCCTGCTAAAGTGGTAGGGGTTATAGCAAAGGCTAAGATCACTGAGCACATGATCTATTGAGGAAGAGTCAACATAGCTTCTATAAAGAGAGTTCTTGCCTCACTAACTCAGCAGGGATTCACCCTCTAACACCCTCAATCTAATGATTGTGGATGCTGATGGAAAGACCTACACAGAGCAACAGGGTTCACCAACACTTGCTAAACATTACCTCTGTCACTGTGCTTGGAGACAGAGCTCTGGGCTAAGGTTTGACTCAGAATTTTTAATATACTGAGTAACACATGTTTGTTTCTCATTTATTATGCTGGAGGAGCATAGTTTCTCTCGAGTATCTGTGCTTCATTTCAGATGCCCCAAGTAGTGTGCTACACTCTGCCCAGGCCTGTAACAGGAACATGAGCAAAGCATGGGAAAAGTTCCTGTATCTGACTGTAACAGCCACTTCTGTCCCCTAAGCAGGTGCCTGTTGTCCATACTGTAAACATGAGTATTTTTAAAAAGAAAACAACAAAAAGCAAATAGCAGACACGCCAGCCCTGGCTCTGCCTTGTTTTGAGAAATAGGAGCATTAAGATAGGCTTTGCAGGGAAACTTGGACCATGCTTTAGCTCAGCTTTCAGTAGTTAGAAAAATATACACTAAATGCATCTCTTACTTACTTTCTTCTTGTAGGCCAAAAAGCATCCTTGCTTAAGCCAGAAGTCTGTTCTTCCTCTTGGCCAATGAAGACAATACTGCAGTAGGGTAGCTGCAACCCTTTGTAACCTTCTAGTTGTCAGGTGACTTATTGATAAGGGCCAACAGCTGAGCGTAGTCTCTTCCAGGTGATTTCATTTGGATAAGGTTTACTTGGAGATAGCCTATTTGCAGCAGCTGCATTTTTGTGGAAGTCTTGTCTCACTAAAACTTATTATTTTCATTCCAACATGAAAGTAAAACCATAACAGAAAGGCAAAAAGCTTGCAATAGAATTTGTGATGTGGTAGAAACTGTGTAAGCGAGATTTCCCATTTCATGCAAAATGTAGCAATTCGTGTAGGCTGAGTCCCAAAGCTGTATAAACTTCTGGTGGGGTTGGTGTTTGTCAATAAGGTGTAATAAAATGCATCCAGAAATCAAAGCTATTGGTTCAGAGAGTATATAAAAAAAGTAAAATTATGCAAATTACTAAGTATGGTTTCTGTACAGAGAAGGAAACATATTTGCATTGATTTATGAACTCTGTATCAGCCATTTCTCTTGTGTCTTCCATTGCAGAATCACAGCTGTCTCATTTTATGTCAACAAAAGCTACTGCACAAGATTTGTCCATGTTGAAATTTGGGTTACGGTCATTTTTCCCTGTAAGAGATTGAATTATTTGGAAGTTTTACTTAAAGTGAGAAGGACATTGATTCAAAAGCTTAAGAAATGGGAAGCTGTCAAATAGTGGTGACAGGTTTATAATATGATTTGCTTTTTATCTTGTGAAATGTCATTTCCATGTGTACCTATTACACAAATTCTACCCAAAAGCACAAATATCGAGTCTGTGCTTTTGCATGTGTATAAGTCCTTCATTTTCTTCAGTATGCCTGTTTTGTGTGTAAATATTGCTAACAGGGCATGTATCCACTGATATAATAGGCAGAATGGATATAACAGATAAAGACTTTCCATGGCCTATGTAAAGATTAAGAAGCAGCCACCCGAGCACTTCCTCTCTGGTTGATCAGTGCTTTGCTGGAGACACGCTGAAGCAAATATTTAAGATCTCTCTGGTACATATACAAAGTTCCATACACACAGTATCCTGTATTGTGCCCATCTGGGATATGCTGGTGTTTCCATTAAATGTGCACTGAGGTTGTTCAAGTAGAAAAGCTTTGTTTCTGCCTTTGGAGCAAATGGACTCTGAGGCGCTGTGGGATCATGACTTTGAACTGGTAATTTGCTTTCAGAGTGGTGGAGTTCTACAGGACCCAGCGGGATGCAATGCTCATTGCTGCTGACAAGTGGTTAAAAGGTCAGTGAGTGCGACACAGCTAATTACTTAGATTTTTTTCTAGCTATTCATCATCTTTGTGTTCAAGAAAAACCACTAAAGTTCATCTCTTGACTGAAGTGACAGATAAGCACTATAAGCAAATCAATTACATTAAATATTAAGCTTAGGACACATTATGCAGTGCTGCTGTTTTCTTGCTTTTCTGGTGGGACTAGGAGATGGCAATGAGAAAAAAGCTCAGCACATTATTGTGTAAAGGATTTTTAGAAGGAACATGTATTTCACTCCACTATGTTCTTATACTTTTTATTTTTAAAAACTCTGTCTGAAATAGCCAGATTTAGTGGCCTTAATTTAAAAGAAGATATAAACAATTGATATAGCAGTAGTGGTAATCATCTTTTTGTCAGAAATCAATTTCAAATGTCCACTTTAGTGGTTAATCACAGAGCATAGGAAGAATTTGATCAACAGTAATGCAATTACAGTTAGTGACTCATTTCTTTTTGTCAGGCTAAGTGGAGTCAGCAACAACTGCTTAAGAACTGCCCACCTACCTTAGATGATACTTCTGTGGGACATGGGTGCTCGAGCACCACACAATCATTAATGTACTTTTGCTAATTCCAGGGCTTTAGATATGAGGTATTTCTTCTTTTTCTACATGGCTCTGAACAACCATGGATTGTTGACCTGGGTAGGCCCTCTTTGTCTCAATTCCCCAAGTATCAAAACAGTGTAACATCACAGGGCTACCTTAAGGTGTATTGTGAGAATATACTCATGTGAAAGACTATCAGGTCTTCACGTTTTCTAGTAATAGGAGCCATAACATTATGGAAGACAGTCTTTATTTTGTAGATATGTAATCGTTAAATACACCGAGGAAGAGCTTGAGAAGATGTCAAATATAGTTTCTTCAAAAATATGTCCAATAAGGAAATCTTGGTAAACAAATGTATACAGTAGGTCCGCATATATAACTTAAGACATAAATCCTCTCTATGCATTCCCATCCTCCCTTTTAACTCCTAGGCTCTCCTTTTGTTTGGAGGTTAAACTGTAATCATTGTGATTTAAAGAAAAACAGTTTTGCCCTTTGCTACACTTTAAATTCTATTGATAGTCAATGTGATAGCAGGAGAAACTGCATCAGAAACATTATTTTAAGTTGTTTACTTGATATGAAAGTAATCAACACATAGAGTTTGTTGATGTTCGGGATTTCTGTAATTCAAAGCAATCACTTTCACAAAAAGCATTGATGATACCAGCACAAGTACAGTAAGCCCACACAGATTTGATTAGCAGTACTTTAAATTTGGCAAGTGGCATCCTGCCTCTGTGGCCCCCGTTACCTTTGAGTTCATTAGAGCAACAAAGCTATAGTATTACTGAATCTGTGGTGTATCAGTTAAAGATGGGACAGAACTTTCTTTCTTGATTCCCTGCTTTTCTCTCTCCCCAGGCTTGGCAGAATGGTACCCTCCTGCTGCTGGCATGTTCTTGTGGATCAAAATTAAGGGTGTTTCTGACACACAGCAGCTGATCATGGAAAAAGCTTTGCAGAAAGAAGTATGACCTATGGTTTAATGGCTTATAATGTTAAAATGAAATAAGGGAAGAATAAAAAAAATCACCATACGTATCCACACAGATGCACACACATAAAAAAGCAGGGGAACTTGCTGTGCACCATCGTTGAGCCTGCAAGTCAAGCATTGACACACAGTGACTCAGGAATAAAATATTTTCATGTCTGTTTTATTTCTACAATATATGAGAGTCAGCACTGTGTACTGAGTAAACATTCAGGTGTTGGTGTTTAATCAGCTTAGTGAAATTTAAACCATGATAATACATAGTACAATGTCATGTATACTATATATACACACAATATATGTACCTATATGAATGATGGCTGTCACTATATCTTTTTAATAAGAGAAATTAAGCGTGGTTTTATTTCTACAATGTATGAGAGTCAGCACTGTGTACTGAGTAAACTACATCCCACCTCACTGGTGCTTCCAAACATTGTGATAATGATAAGCCAGACCTGGGAAGCCACCAGCCAAGGAAACCAAAACCTGAGAGCCCTTTGATTTTGTTAGGAAAAGTCTGATTACAGGTTGCATATTTTTGGCTTCTCATTTTGAACAGAAAAAATATATTAAGGCATGTTCTGCTACCAGTGTTTCAGCAGTGAACCTTCTCAAATTTAACTTAGTATAGCGTTTTAAAACTGTAGAAGTGGTGATAACTGGGTGGCAATCAATTTTTCTTAGGTGTTACTGGTTCCTGGAGGAGCATTCAATATCGATAGCTCAGAGCCTAGTTCTTACGTCAGAGCCTCCTTCTCTCTGTCTTCGCCAGCTCAGATGGATCTGGTAAGTGAGATTTTTTTTGTACATTCCTATCAAGACAGTTTCTTACATAATAAAGCTCCCTTATTTTTATTTACTTCTGCTTAAGTGTTTTGTTGAATGTTTGTTTAGTTTTTTTAATACTTAGGTGATTAAGCAGTACTTCTGAAGCAGTATTAGCTGTTTCTTAGGCAAGATACTCATATGCAAATGACCTGAAAGGTACCATATTTTTAGGACCATTAAACATTGTTCTGTGTCTCTCATAAATGTAGTCTCACACTTAATCCTCCCAGACATTATTCATAAAGACTTTACTGAAGTCAGAGTAAGCTTTGTAATTTGCTTTAGCATTAGCAGGCATCACCTATCTTTTGTTTTCCAGACTTCCCATTCCTGGGCTGCTTGCTTATGTGTGTGTGTTTGTCAGTCCTGTATAAGAAAGAATTTTTTTTTCTTTTATACAATTGACATATATGTTGTATTTCATTTATCAGGAACTAATCTTCTATGTATTTAGGAACATTTTGGATTTTATTTGGCTTGATCTGTAACATCAGCGGGAAGAAAGATAGGACACATTTATTTGTGTAGACTTAGTACTCATTTGGTTCAGGTGCTTGAAACACTTCAGTGTTTGTAGTCGTGCTTTCAGTTGTGAAGGTTTGTAACAGATAAGCACTTCTATTGCCTCTCTATTTCTTCTTCTGTATTTCTTCTATTTCTTCTTCCTTCTTTGTAAAGTAATTCATAACTGTAGTATTGACAGTCAAATTGCATCTTCTATATGCTTCCTCACTCAACTGTTCTTCCTCTCACCTTTGGAGCCTCTGGGCTCTTATATTAAAGTAAAAGAGATAGTCTTCCAGGGGTTACTAATTGTATTAAAAGTACAACTGTTTAGTTGTGTCTGAACTGCAAATAACTTTTGAACATCAATATATGTATTTTTCTGTTTCAGAAAACTCCGCCTTTTGTTTTCTGTCAGAGAAGTGGAAGCTTTGACAAGTCAAAGTCTATACATGTTGTTAGAAAAGGGAAACAGAGAATATCAGCTGAATTTTGCAGTATAAAATACTGAGTCTGTATATGGTTAAGGTAGTTTCAGTAGCTTTATAGGTTTGGTGTGTTTCCTATATAAGTAATGCTGGAATATAAACGTGAACCATGTTTGTGTCATTGCAGGCCTTCAAGAGACTGGCTGACCTTATAAAAGAAGCTTTGTGAAAAAGCTAAATAGAACTCTTGCAGCAATCAAAATCGTCTCCAGGAAGTAGTTACAAACATTTTGATTTCATCAGAACAATTTAAAAGCAAGCACAATACAATGGATGTTTCCTTAGATCGTTTCAGCTAAAGAAGCAAAAAATGAAAGAATGAAAAAAAATGTGCTTAATTGTTTTGACAGGACGTTATATACTAAATTTATTCCAATTCAGAAACATTTAAAATACTCAAAACCAAATGTTCTGTTTCCCATCAAATCCATGGTTTTGTTAGATTTGAATTGATTTTTGTTCTGGCTTTTGTTTTCTGTTTCAGTTGGGAACCAGGGAAATCAGTTACTGAGGAAGTTGCCCCTGAGGTGGCCTTAGCCACTGTTAATCCCAACTGATACATTCCTCCAGCACCTTATGTTGGAATTGGTTTTGTGTGTCACTTCCCTTCTTGTCCTACTGTATGGCAACTGGTATTTGAATTTGGATTTTGACGATTTGACGATCAGTGTTTAATGTTACTGAAGTTTTGTCAAATAAAACTGTTGGAAGGATGTTCAAAAACTGAAACTGATCCAGCAAAATTAGGCTACAATTACAAGTAAACCTACTTGGCCTAAGGTCCCTTGCAATTTGCGCCGGTTTTGCAGCTCAGTCTCTGATTTGTAAAAGGTTTTCTGATTGCTGGCTTCCTCTTCAGTCTGTGAATAATTACCCTGTACCTGTGTTAGAAAATCTCTGGTTTGCAAAGGCATGTGGATGTGCTAATAGAACTGCTTTCTGCTCTTAGTTAATCAGTCAGATGGGGTTTTGAATGGAGCGTGTGAGTAACTGGGGACGTGGTGGAATGGGCAATAATCTGACACTGCCAGATGTACAAAGCAAGCAAAATGAAAAAATAAAGAAATGTTTTGATCCCTAATGTCTTGGTCAGTATCATCCCAAACATTTGACACTTGGCAACATGTACAAAACTTTCAGAAAGTTCTAACTAAAGTTTCTCCAAGGCTTCTCATTTTGCTTAGTGACTTAAGTTTTTATTTACGGTTTTGGCAAAAATGCTGTGGTTTTCCACCGATAGCAGATGGATATTCCTTTATGTGCAAGTGTGCAGAATTTCAAAGTAAAAATGTGTGTTCAAGGATCCTGCCCATCCTTCAGCAGCTCAGGTAACCCCACCAAACAAGGGTCAGACACAACCTTGCTTAATTGGAAGTTTCGCAAGAGTTTTAGTACTAACAATCATTTTCATTCCCTCTTTTCTCCCTAGTTATAAATAGCACGTGTCATAACAAACTAGCACAGATGTGTGCTTTTCCCAGCATCTCTCCCATCACCAGGATCATTCCAGTGCCTCCAGCCCAGCATTGCCTTTTATTTCAAGCCTTTTAATTTAGTCAGACCTGCAAGCCACCCCTGCCCTTTGCAGCTTCTTGAGCAGCCTAAGATCAATCCTTTCCCTTCTTCCCAGATTACTGTGGCTTTTAGTCAAGTCCACATGATTTTCAGACTCATTTTCTCCATTTTGTTATCAGTATGTCACACCTTTCTTCCCAGACCCATTCAAAGAACTTGGTATGGGCTCAACTTGTCTGTCACTCCTGCTCTCCTGCAGACACGGGGCTGGCTCTGTTGTCCCACCACCTCATCTGCAGCCCAACCCACATCTCCAGGTTCCCTCCGACCTTCTCTGTCAGCAGCAGGTGGGCCAGTGGAGCAGTGGGTAAAGTCACCCCACCATGGACCCACGGGGTGACAGCGTGGGGAGAGCCCACAGTCCCCACACTGCTCTCGGGGCACCAACGCTGTCTTTAGAGACAAACGTATCCCTTTTTACACTGATGGTGCTAACGGGGGGTCCAAACTGTCAGTGTCCTCTGTGCAGTGCTGCTTCACAGCAAGTTTTCATGTTTCGACTCGGTTTCTTAGCCACCTGTGGAAGTTTTGAAAGCTCTGACTTTGCTGTCAGTAAGGCAATTTTTATCTTGGGTTCAATTTAGAAAGTCATTTTATACAACAGAATGAATTGGTGTGTCTGTTTAATTAAAATAATGTATTTTTCACATGAATAAATGTAAATGTCATTTAGTACTGATTTTAGTTCTCAGGCAAATGCTATTATCATTGTCGAATAATATTGTCATATTGTCATTCAGCCAGACCTAAATTAGAAAAACATAATCAAAATATCGTTATTAAGCAAGCTTTATATGGGTGATGTGTTGAATAATGCACCTCTTACTTCTCAAAGATCTAAAAGTTAATTTAGTAGAATATAAGCAAAATGCAATTCCATTTGCTGCACATTAGATGCTTTTGCTATCAGCTAATTTAATTTAGAGAGAGTGGTTTTTTTCCCTGGCTGTGGTGGAGCATCTAAAATTAAATTAATATCCTGAACGATGCAAATTGAACAATGGCAGTGAAATCTTCTATGCACATACTGTTTCCCTGAACCTCTTAGAGCGCAGTGTCTGGTCTCCTGGGAGAGAGCATCTGCTCTGATTAAATGTTCCTGGAAGAAGAAATTTGGAGAGAAATAGGAAAAGGCGGGCAACAGGTTCACATGGAAAGAAATGAGGTGGCAAATGGAAGTTTTGGGTTTTCCCTTTCTGTTTTCATCCATCCAGGAGCAAATAACCTCTCATTTGTAGCCGGGTTTAAGCTGTCTGGCATGATCCACCCTTGGGGAAGAGCGGGTCCAGGGGAAAGAAGGGGCTCGGTGTGGGAAGCTGCTCCTCTGATAGTACCTAAAGGCAACAGGCTGTAGTGGAAGAGCCTGTAGCTGGGCTGCAGGGACTTTCATTCCACTGGATGTTCAGGCTTTTGGCAAACAAAACCACCTAGAAATTCACAACAAATAGCCACTGTGCGTGACCCAAACAATTCTGCTGTAGAAAGGGCATAAATCTCAACCCATCCTACGCACATCACGTGTGCACGTGTTGTTCAGACTCGGGTGACACATCCCACTTCTGCTTCACGAGTTTCACAGCCATAGCGAGGGGGAGCCCTTCTTCCCTGGGAGACTGGAAATATTAACTGTACAACTTCAACAGAATTCCCAAACTTTGGCATAAAATGCATTAACAAATTTTAGGTTCACACGGGTCATTGATCGCAAGGAAAACATCCCCCTATACTTTCAAATGAGAGCCCTTCAGCACTTCTGTAATTGATGAATGATTGAGAGAAAAGGATTTTTATGGGGAATTCATTAGAAGAAAGAATGCCTGTGTGTATACAATATGACAGCTCTTATGTTAAGCTGTAAGCATGTGGGGAATTACTTCATCTAATTGAATGTCAGTCCCTGAGCAGCAGTGCTGGTGTCCAAGAATTTATAGAGTTTTTGTGGAAAACACTTGGTTCAGTTTTGGGGGGTTGTCTCCTAAATTGTGAATGCAAGTTTCATTTGAAACATTCTTTAAAAATCATTTGCTCTGTGTGGAGCCTTGTGTTTGAAAACCTTGTGTCCTAGAGACCTGCAGCACTTTCTGTTCTGCCTTTGCAATCTGCATTGAGATATGCTGGGGCAAATATTTAAAAGAACTCCATTGAGCTGTGCTGGTGCGTGCCCTGATCTGTCTTGTTTTCTTTATTATTTAATAACAGGTTTTGAGCAGCCCACTGTAGGCCGTGCCTTAGATGGGAACAGAACAATTGCAGTGTTTGAACTGTAATCATTCCAAATGAAAAGTGCTCTGTGAATACAAAGAAACATACATTTTTCATTCTTCTAACGTTGGTACCAGGAGTTCCAGCTCCTCACTTTTCTCACAAGAGCCACGGAAGCTAATGTGCAACCCTGCCAAGCTCAGCTATCACCGTGGGGGAAAGGGTCTTGCTGATTCTTTTCAAGAATGAATATCCCGGAGATGTGTTAACAAACCTGACTGCTGCTAGAGGGTTCCTGCTACCTGTACAGAATTTGGAGAATACCTTCAAGATTGTATCTTCTTTTGATTTTCAACTTATACTAAATCAGATCTGGGTTGGTACAGCAAGTGAATAGACTGTGATGGGACCTGCAAAAAATTAACATGAAAGTATTTCAGTTCCTTGATTTACATAGAACTTTGAACATTCTCTACATTTGACTAATAATGAACTTTGAACCTAAAAGGTTCAGAAGATTAAAAATATTTTCCTGCACTTTCCTCAAAAAAATCAGGCATTAACAGAGGTAGAATCTCAGTGTCCTGGCACAGGATTTTGGCTCCTGCTTATTGTATGCTGGAATTTCCAACCAGATCCAGCCTGAGACGCCAGCCCTAACAAAGTCCTGGTATCCAAGGGCGTTAGCAGGTAGGAAACTGGATCTTTTCAGTGCACATTGCCACTGGCCTGTGGCCACTAAGGACATGGTGGAGCATCTGTGTGGCTCCGCGGTGCTGGAATAAGCACTAGAAGATGATGGGACACATCCTGAATTAGTGGTGGGCAACAGCATGGTTTATCACCAGTTTATCTGCATATAAAAACACTTCAGGAAAAACCTATCCAGTTTGGCTCCTAATAGAATACCCAGTTTAACTGCTACAACACTGGCTTTTCTATTGTTATGTAGCCATGAAAATTTAGCAGAACACCTCTTGCTGTGAAACTGATAGCAAAGTTTGATTTTAGGAATCGTGAACATGGCTTATTCACCTCCATTTTGTAGCCAGCAGAATGCAGGAACAATTTGAAACACAAAATTTCTTTACTTTTTTTGGTTACATTTTACTTTTTTTTAAATGTCATTAAATGAAAATTTAAATTGCATTTAGTGAAAGCCAATATTAAACAAAATTTAACTGGGCAAATTAATCCCTATACCGCTGCTAGTTATGTTTATGAAGTTGTACTAGTACCAGCCTAGTTATTCCAGGAGAAGGTTTTGGACTAACATCTGTATTGATTAATTCTGTTTCCATTTTCCTGGGATAAAGAAGTTTTTCTGAAAAGATCAAATTATTTAAATGCCTTAAATGGAACCCACCTTCAGTTGGACAATGTATAATTTATAAACTCACTGACTGTCTGCCTCTTCCCCCAAAACAATAAAGAGGAGGGATGGAAACACCAGTTTTCTTACAAAGTACTATTTTCAATACAGTTCCAAGAACTTGGAAGACATTATTTAATAAGCAAATGAGCTAGTACCTTCATCTCTGAGGAAGACTGAAAAAAGTTCCTGTCTTAGTACTGGCATAGACAGCTAAACCGTAAACTTTTTATGCATCCCACAAACATGAAAGAAAACAGCAAAAAACCCTTAAGAAATACCTAAGAAAGGAAATACTTTATCACAAACCGTAACCCAAAGAGAACAGCCTTGATTCTTACAGATACATTATTCAGTACCCATTTTTCTCACATGTTTTCCACCCCAAATATTTAACCCACACTATTTAATCTCAGTGCATTTTTTTCCACCTGGGCTTCTTTGTTCAGCTCTTCTCATGGATCTCTCTAATAATTCCCTCCACAGTCCCCTCCCTCCCCTGCCAGGTAACATATTTTTTCAATAATCAAGGCAAATTATTTTTGTACAAATGCCACCATTTTGTTTATCTTTCATTAGTTTGATGACTGAGCATGCTATTACCTTATTGTCTGCATTTGTTGTAGGTCACATCATACATAATCCTATCCATAATTAATCTCTATCTGGTGGCAGGTCTAACGCAAACACTTCTTCATTTAAAGCAGGCAGCATCACTACAGGAGACCAGCACTGACTCTGGGGAGATGTATCTTCAGAAGGGTAACTATCGGGAATATAATATTGCCTTTATCTTCAAGTAATAGCAGTTATACCAAATAAATAAGAGCGCTATTTGTTTCTGCTTCCTAATTGGCATAATAAACTGTTTTTAAAAGTAAAACTGGTTTTCAGAGTGAGTATTCAGGAAGGTGAAGTCCTACTGATTATTT